AATTAACGTAATGCGTCGGGAACCAGCATCATCATGACGCATGATGTCATGACGTCACTCCTTCTCTTAGACTAGATGGTTCCAATAAATCACCCCGGAAATCTAATAGATTTAAAATATGCGGCCCACAAAGAGCCACGTCGCCTGCTCGTCACAACGATCACGACTGATGTTATCTGTTTAGCGAACTCAACCATAAAAACGGCAATGAACGATATTACCCGCTCATTGAACTCGCCCACAAAGACGACCTCAACAAGCGGAAGGACTAACTGTAAGGGCAAAAAGTTATCCTAGTTATGTGTGGGCCAAGTCAACACTAAGAGAACCTTCTAAGGTTGCCACGCGTCATCGATATGATTTAACAAAGGATGAAGACGAGGTCAAGGTGATCTGACGAAGGATTAAGACGAGGACGAGCACTCCATTTAGAAGGGCAGTAATGGCTAGTTTTAGAGATAAGATATTATAGAGAATATTCTACAGGATATTCCCCCCATTTGTACTATTAGGGTTTTTTGTGGCCCATGTGCCTTTATAAATAGAAAGGTATGCAGCTAGAGGGGAATTAGACATTCATTGTAAAAAATAAAATATCGACATTCTCTGGAGATTCTTGCTTTGTTAAATACATACAAAATATACTTTTTCTCCAAATCTATATCTAACTTATCTCCCACGTTCCAAGGAGAATCCGAATATTCATAGGCTCATCAGTCAGTTATCATTGTCAGGAAAAATATCACAGAAACTCACCCGGTTACCTCACTTGCATTTATTTACATAGTTCTATTATATATCATTTATTACTATTTAATGTTGTTCTCTTTGTTCTTGGGCTATTGAATATTATCTACCGTTATACATTTATTGTTTAGAAAATGGAACTTATGACATTTCATCACCAAATCGGTTATTCTTTTGGATATTAATGTTAGCTAAGGTTAACTCTATTTTATTAGAAAATCTAATTGTTTAAACTTAGATTCAAATTTTGGGTCAAACAAATATCTATAAATATTTGACTCTGAATCTAATTATTATTATATATATAACTCGAGGTTATTGTAGGAACCCAGAAACTTAAATTTCTTGCTCCGCCTCTGGTCCTGAACCATGTTCAAGTTTAACTATTTTCATGAAGCAAAGAAAACTCAGAACACAAAGGGAATACAAAAATAATAGGTTCAAGTGAACCCTTGGGAAGAATTCATGCTTGCCGGCCCCTTGCATGCTCAATAACAATTCAAACGCTTTCGACATTTACTATTAAGCAAATGAAAAGTGTTACCTTAATTGGGTAATTCACTATCAAGGGAATAAAGATTATTCGTACTAATCTGTCAAATTATCTTGTATATGCGTGAAGTTTCCATTTCTTTTGTACATTTAAAGACTTTTATTGCCTAAGAAGCTACGGAAGTATAATCATAGCCGAGTCCAAGATACTTCAGTGTTCGGTTGATGCAATTATGCGGATATTCTGTCTTGTGATATTGTCTCCCAAGAGGTAGACCTAATAAATATAGGAGAAAGGTGATTAGGCAAGTTATGACACAATTTTAGCTTATTGAAGACATACCGTACCCTTGATAGGAGAGTATGTAGGTCGAGAATTAGGGTAGAAGGTTAGTAGGTAGTCGTGCGTGTCTGATCCTTTTCATGCCGATAGTATTAGTATTAGTCTTGTATTATCGTATTTTCTTATCGGCGGATTTCTTTTTTGTATGTTGTTTCTTTCATTTTGGATATTTTATAATCTTATCATTTGCTGTTGTTTCTGCTTCTTTTTCATATTTTCTTGAGCCGAGGGTCTATCGGAAACAATATCTCTACCTACACAAGGTACGTATAAGAATTTATGTATACACTATCTTCCCCAGACCTCATTTTGTAAGATTACCCTGGGTTTGTTATTGTTGTTCTCCTCGCAATCAAGAAACGTTGCAGTGTTCACTAAACAAGAAAGCCCAGTACTGCTAATCGACAGAAAGCGAAAAAACTATTATCAAGTATGATAATAGTTCATCCTAGAAGTTAACATAGAATACGAGGAATGTAGCACTTAAGTAACGACACTAGATTCTTGGCATTTCTCAACAATGTAAAAGAGCGTATGATCATAATCTACAAAAGAAAATGACGCAATCAGTGACTTTGATATTTCTCATTTGTTTCTTATAGATGCCTGCCCTCTGTAGACGGTCACGTTAGTTCCAAGTTTATTCTCAACAAAATATGTACTGCTAGTTCAGTTACCTTGTTCTCTAGAAATCTCTCATTTGATTATTCGTGTCAATGTCTTTCTATTCCTCTTGGACGTGACTAACGAGATGTTTGTACAGCTTACTAACACATGCATATAAATATCTAGTAGTTAATACATGCATGGCAATGGCAGAAAAAATGGCATCTCAAATTAATTAAGAAAAGAAAGATGAATATACGAAGAGAGATAAGAGTAAGGATTATACTCTGCCATTTCACAAATTACTAAGCAGAGCAGATGCACTGGACCGGACACTAATGGCTTTCGGCACGTTGGGAGCCATAGTGCATGGCCTTGCCCAACCTGTCATCTATAAGCTGCTCGGCAATGCCCTAAGACGCATTTGGAAACAACATCAATGACACTGCTGCCATGGTCAAAGCCCTCAAAAAGGTATGCTGATCGGAGGCAAGATTCAGGATTTTAATTTCATGGGTTCAGGTAGTGGTGGCAAAATAGTTAAAAGAAAACAGTTAGCCACTCATATTATTCACTAAAAAATGGATTGGATAATGAACTTTTTGAAAACGAGTCAAATATGGACAAGAACCATATTATCCATTTAGAAAATGGATAACCAATGAGTTTAACTTTTACATTTGTGAAGTCTCAAATTGGGGGAGATATGCACAAATAGCCACTAACAGCACCTGTCTTTATTTTAAAGCCAGTGTTTTAAATGTCTTTAGTTTTTAGCCACTGGTTTAATAAACTTATACCTGACTGGACGAAAATACCCTTCTGCTATAACTTATACCTACGCTAACATTAATGAGCAACAGCGCAGCAGCAACGCAAAATTCTCTTCCGATTTCAAAACTTCAACATTCCAAAAATCGATATATATTTACAGTAAGTTATACTTTTATGTGTTTCTATTGATGTTTATTTCGACATAGTTATACTCTTTCCGATTTCTATTGATTTTTATACAGTAAGTAGAAATTTGATTTTTTTTTTTGAATTTCTGGATTGATAAAGTTAAGGACATCGCCTCCTATGATAATTCTATAAAAATTGAGCACATAATATTAAGGACATAGTGTCCTCATTTTGCAAATTGAATTGAAAAAGTTAAGGACACAATGTCCTTAACTTTGTTGATGTTCTTCTGTATATTAAGGACATACTGTCATAGTTTTGCAAATTGTTTTGAAAAAGTAAAGGACACTAAGTCCTGAAGTTTGAGTTTCAAATTGAAAAAGTTAAGGACATTTGGTCCTTAACTTACACTTATTAGTTCAAACATGTCCGTAAGTTTGAATTACAGATTGAAAAGTTAAGGACATGAGTCCTTAAGTTTGACTTGCAGGTTCAAAAGTTAAGGATAGGAAGTTCTTAAGATTTACTTGCAGGTTCAAAAGTTAAGGACAACAAGTCCTTAAGTTTGAATTACAGGTTCAAAAGTTAAGGACAGGAAGTCCTTAAGTTTTACTTGCAGGTTCAAAAGTTAAGGAAAGGAAGTCCTTAAGTTTGAATTACAGGTTGAAAAGTTAAGGGCATGAGTCCTTAAGTTTGACTTGAATGTTCAAAAGTTAAGGACAGGCAATCCTTAAGTTTGAATTTCAAGTTCAAAAGTTAAGGACACGCAGTCCTTAAGTTTCAATTACAGGTTCAAAAGTTAAGGATAGGCAGTCCTTAACTTTGAATTCCAAGTTAAAATGTTAAGGACACTTGGTCCTTAATTTGGTCTTGAACTTACAGTACATGTTCTTAATTATACAAGGATTGCTTTATAAAATGGTCCTGAGTTTCCCATTCTCTTGACTTGCAGGATGGAAACAATATGCATTATAGTTGCTTTTAATGGTAGATGGACTGAAGACTATAAATATCTTGATCATCAAACAAAGCTTGTTCTAGTACCTGAGTCAATTCGGTTTGAAGATTTCATTAAACAGATCTTTGAGGTTATTGAATTGGATAGACACAAGTTTGAAGCAGTGATATGGTTTGATATTAACCTTGGAACAATCAAAGGAATGCTTGTATCCAAAGATTTAGATCTTCACACATGTATAAAGTTACTAAAAACTCATTCACTCTTCAAAGGATGTCGTTTCATTGTTGATATTTCGGAAAGAGTTTTTGGATCAACAAGCAATGAACATGTCAACACAGAAACTCAACATGATAATCAAAACAAATGCCAACAGATAATGGAAATAGATATGGTTGAAGAGGTGCTTCAAACACATGTCAACAGAGAAACTCAAGATGACAATCAAGACAAATGCCAACAGTTAATGGAAATAGATATGGATGAAGCTCAACCAATAACTTAAGAGGTGCTTCAAACATTTGATTCTATTCAAGTAGAAGGACAAAGCATTATAGAGATTGACAACGAACAAGCTTTGGGTATTCAAGTCTTAGAGAGTGCACCGGTAATCGAAGAAGTTGCTGAAAAAACCTCTACTCAACTAACTAGACGAAGATCAAATTTGAAACAAAAAGAATCCCCAACTACGATATTAAGAGAAAATGCTTCGTTGGAAGAAATAAAAGTCGGATCAGATTTGACAAGAAGAAGAGTATAATTAATTATTTTTCCAATATAGCAATTAAAGGACATTTTGAATTCAAGGTTGTTAGATCAAGCTCAACAAGATATTCGTTGAAATGCAATGATGATAGGTGTTGTTAGTGTGTGCATGCTTTCAGAATTAAAGATTCAACACTGTTCAAGATAGTAAAGATTAGGAAAAAGCATGACTGCTCTGTTAACACAATGAAAGCAGATCAAAGGCATGCTACTTCAAAGTTGATTAGTGCTTACATTATCGACAATCTTTGGGACCCAAGGTTTGAAGTTACACCAGCTTTTGTCATGGCAGAGATGCAAAAATTGCATGGACTAGACATTGGATATCACAAGGCGTGGCGTGCTATTCAACATGCTTCCGCTTTAATAAGAGGAACTCCCGAAGAGAATTATGAATTATTGTCTTCATACTTGTATATGATGACAAGTAAAAACCCAGGAACTTATACTAACATAAAGATAGACGACAACAACAGGTAAACAATCAAAAAAAGTTTATTAGTACGTTTTATAAAATTTAGGACATGTTGTCTTTAACCTTGTTAACTTTTGAGTTGTAACCAGAAGTTCAGGACTGGCTGTCCTTAACTTTTGAACTTGTAATTCAAAGTTAAGGACCGCGAGTCCTTAAGTTTTAAACTTTGAAATCAAAGTTAAGGACCGCATGTCCTTAACTTTATAACTTGAAACTCTAAGTTAAGGATCGACCGTCCTTAACTTTTAACCTTGTAATCTTAAGTTCAGGATTACCTGTCCTTAACTTCTGTTAACCTTGTTTTATATTGTATTTTCAGGTTTCTTTATATGTTTTATGTATATGGATCATCAATAGCTGGTTGGAATCATTGTAGACCAGTGATTGCTGTTGATGCAACTTTTTGGAAGTCAAAATTTCGTGGTGTTTTAATGATTTCAGTTTCAAAGGATACAAATAACCAAATTTTTCCACTAGACTTTGGAATAGCAGAATCTGAAAATAACAATTCCTATGAGTGGTACTTTAGTCAGCTTCGCAATGCAATTGGGAGCCGTGAGAATTTAATTTTTTTATCAGACAGGCATCAAGCTATTGCAAATGGCATTGCAAAGGTATATCCTGAAAGCCATCATGGGATTTGCATCTATCATTTGGAGCAGAACCTAAAGCGAAGGAATGTGAAAAGTGAGGTCATAAAACTTTTTCTAAGTGCTGCAAGAGTATACAGGCGCAAAGAATTTGACCTATACATGTCAGATATAGCAAAAGTAGATAAGAAGACTTAACCACCGGAAAGATGGACACGTTCTTGTAGTCCACGACGAAGATATGACATGCTCACAACAAACATAGTTGAGTCAATGAATTCTGTCCTATTAGAAGCAAGGGAGCTGCCTATATTAAGAATGATGGATTTCATTCAAGTGAAGCTACAACATTGGTTTTCTGAAAGAAGAAATAAAGCAAAAGAAACATTTTATGATGTTTCTTGTTGGGTAGAGGAGGAATTGTAGAAAAGAATAGATTTAGCATTTACTTTGAATGTAAGTATTATGTTCTATGTTTATCTTATGATTTTAATATTATTTAACATAATGTACTAACTTATAATTTTTCAACATTGAAGGTCTTCCCTGTTGATTCATGGCGTTCTAGAGTTGAAGAAGAATGAATAACTTTCTTGGTAGACTTAAACAAAAGAACATGTGTTTTCAGTTTCAATTTGATGAATTACCATGCATACATGCAATTGCATCTATCGAGAAGAGAAACATCAAGAAGTCCAACTTTCAATTCCGTTTGCACAAATTAAACTGCCAGGATTGAATCCTTCTAACTAGACCAAGCTAAGCAAGCCATCAAAACCCATGAGCATTGCTGCAAAATACCTGTAAGAACCCATTACCTCGAACACATACAAAGAATTGATCATATCCTTACCATACCGATTCGGTCTACAATCAAGCCATTCCATCTATCTGAATTTCCTTCTGATTCATTTTCAACTTGATGCTCCCTCTTGCTGTAGTACCACAATCTCTCAATCCCAGGCTCACTACACGAGAACCAAGCACAAGACCACACTGTCTAGGACCCATACGCCGCTGAATACTCTCTCAAATATTACCAGAAACATCGCGCTCCCAAATACTTTAATCTGAAGAACTTCCTGCGAATCCGAATCCGTTACCTTTACTTTCCTGATACTGATACATAGAACCCCATAATTAACATAGAAATACCACAAATCTGAACCTCTTCCAATGAAAACATGGTTTCTAACCACACATGCAACTATAAAATACCCGATTGTTTCTTGCAGAATCTTGAACACATTAGAACCATTCTCGAAAGTCATTCACTCTTATTCAAACTACAAATTACCTGACCTAACGAACAGAACCACCCGTGCCTCATTGGCACTCCGATACTACAAAATGAAATCCTCATCCTAATATAACCACACAACTTCCTGCTCTATGCGCCGAGCATTCTTTACCAACAACAACTTAAGACATCCCGTGATTCTCTCTCCCCATGAAGCATAATGTAACCTTTGTCAAAATTTTCCTTCACTCTAGCCATAGCTAATTCACTCGCATGCCCCAAACTCGAACCAGCATAGCACCTAACCGTGCAATCAGCTGCTCACAGCAGACTCCCCCACTTGGCTTGAATCCATAGATCAAGATACGCTCAATAACTCATAACACTTCTACTCTATCGATGCCACAATACCATAGTGAGATTAAACTCAAATCATTTGCAAGCTTGTGAAATCACAGATCATCTAGTACCGTAAATCTTTTGAAATTCTCGCATTCACCCCCACAACAGCTAAGCCCACTCTTTTAGGCGACCCAAAATTTTAAATTTCAACACTCACTTTTCAATTACACATAAGATCTTTTAATATACACATAAGGATTACACCACTTCAGAACACTTCGCAGGAGATAACCCGCCTGTTTCGCCCCAATGTGACATTTCCGCATACCTTCCAACGTCATACACATTACACAGTTACTTAGTCTTCCTAAGTCTAAACTCGTACCGCAACATAAAATTTACTTCACTCTCGACTGGAAATATGAAAAGATTCTTCATGCGCCCATAACTCGGAGTTACACATCCAATCACAATGGAAACCATATGCTTAGTAGTTCATCTATCATCCAGCAGACCTTCCTCGTCACTCCCAAGTTACATAGATTCATCTCGCAGTACTAACATACTCATCACATGGTTATCCAACCGCCACTTCCACTAATAGGGACAATACCGAACATATAAGTTCAAAACCACGTGTTCACACGATCAGCACCTCGATGCTCAAGCCATAGGCAAAGATCCGGCCTCAAGTCCTCCAGACTGGCCCAACATCAAACTCGCAGAGATCACATCTCGCCCCTTGATCGGGGAATCACAAGCCATTAAGGCACATCTGATGCTGAGCGCTCATGCGTGCATACAAACGCGTGGAAGGAATTTCAAGAGTTTCTTTTCAAGCTGAATCAAGGACGCACAATAAGAATTCAAGAATGTGAAGTTTTCCTAAAGGTTCTGCAGCCTCTCGAGGATAAATACAGACGTATCCGTACCGATCCGTGAGACTCTACTAAACCTGCTCATGACTCGTGAGACCTAGTAACCTAGGCTATGATACCAACTTGTCACGACCCAGACGCCGCACTGGTCGTGATGGCGCATCTCGTGAAGACGAGGCTAGCCAACTAACCCATCTCGTCTTTTCAAAAACAGCTAAACAAGAATGAACAACCTAAATATGACTTAATAGTATTAATTAGAAGAAATACAACCCAATACGGCCCTAATCGGGGTGTCACCAGCCACGAGAATCTATCAGAATGTAAATCCACTACAAGACTAAAATATACAAATCGGAATAATGAACAAAAGAGAGAAACATGGTGTTGCGAACGCTGACAGTCACCTCTTTAACTCATATAACTCTGCCTCTGATCAGCCAAAACCCGCTACTGGGTGAATAGATACCTGCATCTGCACACGAGGTGCAGGGAGTAAAGTGAGCACTCCAACTCAGTGAGTAATAAAGGTAAATAACAACTGATCAGTAAGAAATCACGTAAAGCAACCAACATGCTGTATAGAAGTAGGGTACAATCCTTTGAGAAAACAGTAAAGCTGTGAAATCTTTAGAAATATCTTGGCTCAGTTTAAACCTCCTTTGAAAATGGTCTTTTCAACAGTTGCGAAATAATTTCAAAACAATTAGTGCCGATATGCACAGAAATCCGCCCCTCGGGCACAAATACCACAGTATAACAAGTAAAGACAAGTAAGTATGCAAGATGAGCACATAACAGCTCGCCCCTCGGGCAATATCTCAAAGCAGTACCAGCCCCTCGGGCTACCTCACAGTCACTCATATCAGCCCCTCAGGCTCACTCTTAGAAACACTCGTATCAGCCTCTCGGGCTCAGTATCAATCACTCAGCATAATGGGTACCCGCACTCACTGTGGATGTGCAGACTCCGGAGGGGCCCCTTACGGCCCAAGCGCTATATCAACATAAGGCCTGAAAGCCTTCTCACATCACTCATAAGGCCTGAAATCCTCTTCACATCACTCACAAGGCCTGAAAGCCTCCTCACATCACTCATAAGGCCTGAAAGCCTCCTCACATCACTCACAAGGCCTGAAAGCCTCCTCACATCACTCGTAAGGCCAGAAAGCCTCCTCACGTCACTCAAGCCACCTCGTGGCATATAAATGTATCTCAGGCCCTCGGCCTCATATCACTCAGCATATCCTCACATACGGCCCTCGGCCTCACTCAGTCTGAAAAATCATCACAAGCCCCTTGGGCATTTGTAAAATAGTAGTTCTCAGCCCGAAATATCATTTAAGTTTCAAATCTAAGTAAAATTGGCTGAGTTTGTAAAACAGTAGATATCAACAGGACTGAGTTCAAATAATGCGTAAAAACAGTGAGGAAACAGTGATAAAAATCCCTAAAGGGTTAAGATAATTGGCACGAAGCCCAAATATGGCAATCAACCCAAATCATGATAATAACAAATAAGTTTCAGTCAAATACGTGGTAAAATCATCAATCGGAACGGACCAAGCCACAATCCCTCAACGGTGCTCTACCCCACGCTCGCTATCCGGCGTGCAAGTCACCTCAATACATCACTACGATGTGCAAATCCGGGGTTTCAAACCCTCAGGATATCATTTACAATCATTACTCACCTCAAGCCGGCCAAATCTCTAGCTCGCTATGCCCTTGCCTCTCAAATCGGCCTCCTCGCGCGTCGAATATAACCAAAACCACAACTAATACGTCACAATAGGCTAAGGGAACATAACCCAATCGAAAACAATCAATAACGGGCACAAATCCCGAAATTAACAAAACTCAAGCCCCGGGCCCACTTCTCGAAACTCAGAAATTTTCACATTAATGGGTTCCTTATCTCGCCACGAGTTCATACATATCAAAAACTCTCAAACCCGACCTCAAATGGCCATTCAAATCCCAATTTAAAATCTCAAAATCCCAAGCCCTAGTTCTTCCATTTCTAGTTAAATTTCCATGAATTTCTATGTTAATTTCACCATTAAATCACGTTGTTGGTTCATAGAACTTACCTCAAATCAATCCTCTTCGAATCCCTCTTCGATTTCTCCTAAAGAGCTCTCAAAATGTTCAACAATGGTGGAAAAATGACTTGGGTTCGCGAAGAGCAACATTTTAAGACCTCGAAATTGGTCTATGCGAACGCGACATGCCTCATGCGAACGCGATGAATAATTTCCCATAACTATGCGAATGCGTATTCCCCACTGCGAACGCGATGCACCAAAGACTTAGCTTCCGCGATCGCGGACCCTCAATCGCGAACGCGTAGAACAAAAATAGGCCTACCCAAAAACCCTTCTATGCGATCGCGGCCCCAGGCTCGCGATCGCAAAGACCAAAACACCCTTGTACAGCTGCTGAAATTTCTACAATATTTCAAAGTCCAAAATTCCCTGTTAGCCATCCGAAATCACCCCGAGGCCCCCGGGACCTTAACCAAAAGCATCAACACATCCTAAAACATCATCCAAACTTGTTCCAACCATAAAAACGCCTCAAACAACACAAAAACCATCAATTCACATCAAATTCAAGCCTAAGTTCTTCTAAAACTTCCGAAACACGCATTCGATCAAAAACCCAACCAAATCACCTCCGAATGACCTGAAATTTTACACACACATCCCAAATCACATAAGAAAGCTACAGAAACTCTCAGAATTCCATTCCGACCCTTGGATCAAAATCTCACCTATCAACCGGGAATTGCCAAACTACTAACTTCGCCAATTCAAGCCTAATTCTACACCGGACTTCCAAAACCAATTCCGATCACGCTCCTAAGTCACAAATCACCTAACGAAGCTAACCAAATCATAAAAACTCTGATCCGAGCTCATATACAAATAAGTCAACTCTTGGTCAAACCTTTCAAATTCAAAGCTTTCAACTGAAACTTTTCTTTCAAATTCATTCCAAATTTTCCTGAAAACAAAAACTAACGATTTACATTAGTCATAATAAATAACACGGGGAAAGTCATGCCCGAGAACTGGCGATCAAAGTGCAAAAGCTCAAAACGATCGGTCGGGTCGTTAAGTCACAAATTGTTAAACCTCCAGATTTCAAAGTGCCACCAGGTAGAAGGCAAAAGAAAAGGCATATTCCTGCTACCGAGTCATCAAAAATAACATTCAAATGTGGTCGTTGCAGAAGAATTGGTCATAATAGAACATCTTGTATATATTCTCCGCCTCTCCATCCATTTTCAAGAAAGCATAGAGAAGAGTAGATATATCCACTTATGTTTATCGACTCTTTTTAGTTTTTGCTATAAATTGGATTCATTTAGATTATTCTTATTTGAGCAGATGTCTGAATTTTCAAAATTTCTTTCTTCTTACCTTGTTTTTTTTTCTTTTGAGTTCAAAGATTAAAAGTTAAGGACAGGAGTCCGTAAGTTCGACTTGCAATTTCAAAACTTAAGGACAGTCTGTCCTTAACTTTGATTTCAAAGATTAAAAGTTAAGGACATGAAGTCCTTAACTTATAGTTTCAAGTTTAAAACTTAAGGACTGTTTGTCCTTAACTTTGAGTTTTAAGTTCAAAAGTTAAGGACAACAGTCCTTAAGTTTGACTTTCTGGTTAAAAAGTTATGGACAGGAAGTCATTAACTTATAGTTCAAAGTTGAAAACTTAAGGACTCCTGTCCTTAACTTTGATTTCAAAGATTAAAAGTTAAGGACAGGAAGTCCTTAACTTATAGTTTCAAGTTTAAAACTTAAGGACTGTCTGTCCTTAACTTTGAGTTTTAAGTTCAAAAGTTAAGGACAACAATCCTTATGTTTGACTTGCTGGTTAAAAAGTTATGGACAGGCAGTCCTTAAGTTTGAATTATACGTTCAAAAGTTAAGGACATGCAGTCCTTAACTTTGAGTTCAAAGTTCAAAGGTTAAGGACAGGAGTCCTTAAGTTTGAAATACAGGTTCAAAAGTTAAGGACATCCAGTCCTTAAGTTTGAATTACACGTTCAAAAGTTCAGGACAGGAAGTCCTTAAATTTGTGTTTCAAGTTCAAAAGTTAAGGACATTTGATCCTTAACTTTGAATTTGAAGTTCACTTACACTTAGTCATGAACTAATACTAACAAACTCTATGGACAAATCAACACTTGAGAGAAACAAAGAAATTAATAACATGATGCTTTGATATAACTTCTAAAATTGTAATTTTGCATAGCTGTGATAAAAAATTACGCTATGCTAACAAAATATAAGTGCCTTTTTAGGAATTTAAAGAATATTTCAGAAGTTTTCTAAACTTGCAGAATTCACATGTATCCTTTACAGCAATTTTATACAAAAGATCATCCACAACTATATCTTCTTTAAAACTAAACTACAACTCCTTTGAACAGCAAGTTTCATTTTCACTATCATAATCATCGCCAACATTTTCTGGTGGAGTATCATAACCAGAATTTCTTTTCCATTCACCATGTGCCCAAAGATTTGCAGCAAGTTCTTTTCTAAAGTCTTTTATGTCTTCGGGTTTGAATTACTCCACATCCTTTCCAATCATCAACAACTCAACATATTTGATCAGGAATGCACCACAATCAGTCCTAAGAGAAATGTAAGATATGCAGTGAATTAAACAATAAATCTAAAGTACATATAAATAATATAACAAATAACAACACGTACGATCCAATTTTGTGTGGTGATCTTTGCCATTGAATATCAAATTTGTTGAAGACATTTCCAAAAGACTTGTGATGTTTGTCAAACTGTGAGAACTTTAGAAAGTGGGGTGTCGACGCCCCCTTTTTCTTCCAAAACGGAGTTCGGAATCGGGTATACGACATTCGGGAGGACAGCTCTATTCCCTTGCGAGAATTGGGTTTTTTAGTTTGAAGAGTCGCCACCTAATGATTATAGTGCATTAGGACACTTTAAGGAAGAATTTGAGATGAAGAACCAGAGTTTGGGTAAGGGCTAGAAATTATCTCGAGGGGAAGGTGTTAGGCACCCCTCAAGATCCACTAGTGTGGTTCCCGGCCATGCTACAATTGTGACTTTGAATGCAAACAAACAAGTAAACAAGCAAGCATTGCAAATACGAGAAAACTATTACAAATAAGGAGCACAAAAGGTTAAAAAAAAAGTGCTGAATTTTAGGGAAGGAGCAGTTTAGTAAAAAGTGCAAGTAGGAAGAAGTCAAGTACTTAGTGCGAACAATCTGAAAATTATGTGAAAAATAGAAGTCGAAAGTGCAACAGCTTTTTAAGATTCAGAAAATTGTTAAACTAATAAAGAGGGAGGGGGTCCTAGGTTTATATATTACATGGATCATTCGCACAACACTGGTACTCAATTGTACGCATAGTATTATCGTGTAATCATCATCTCCATGTCTACCCTTTCCCACCCCGTTAAGGTATTGGAGCGCGGAATGGTATCGTTTGCCTATCGCATGCTATTACCCGTCCCAAGCTATCAGTCCCGGGGCATTAGGACTTCTAATCCTAAAAGGGGAAGAAAGGGATGGGGGCCTTTATGGAGTTTAAAGGACAAAAATTCTAATCGACATTCAAAAACAAGTAACAAGTAGGGGGAATGAACAGACAAACAGGTAAGGCTCACATAAACCCCGTAAATCAGATAACATATAGTTTAGCATGCCTTTACACATACTGGTTTAGTCTTTAAAATTAAAAATTAAGAAGCGAGCGAACAGGTTCGATACATACGTTTAGATAGGAAGCCCACATTAGGCAACTTGGATCCAATTGTCAGAACTTAAGGTATTTTAAGCGAGTGATTTAGAAAATACTGGTTCAAGAAAAGTAGTCTAATGCCGGAAAGTACAGACTGCAGTCAGTTTAGAAATAAGTTTTAAGAGAATCATGAGTATAAACCATAAAAGGAGTTCCAGAGTCAGAAATACTTAAGGAAAGAGTAAACTGCAGAACTGTTTTAAAGACAATTTCAGGAAGACCAAAACTTAGTTGGAAAATGTTTAGGCAGAATTTTAGAAAGAAACCATTTCAAAAGAGGTGCTGATTTGAAGAACTCAAATGTATACTGATTCAAAAGAGTTTTGTCGAAAGATTGAGGCTGAAAGCATTAAGACATTAGAGACCAGTTAACAGATTGTTATTGCTTAAGAAGAATCGGACGAACTTGATGCGGAATCCTATAATATCTATATCTGATTTTAAAAAGTCTGTTAAGAACCGGTAAGAAGAGGTAATTATTTAATCACCCTACAGTTTGCCTAATGCATATGCATTCCCTATTGGCATGATTTCTATATGCACTGATTACATGAACGTTAAGGTCCTATAGGAAGGATTTCTAGATGACTTATATCATAATTAAACGTTAAACCCTATACGCATAGTATCTAGGTGACTTGAATCAGAAACATCGAACCATCTTATGTGCAGTATTTCTAGTGAAAAAATTAAAGTCCTAAAGTCATGATATCTACCCTTTATTGATGCAAGAAAGTAAAACCCCTCCCACACCCTTTTACTAGATTCCCCGAGTTCTATACAACTTATTACAACCCAATGAATCTACAGAAATAATAAAAATACATCAAAAACTAACAGCTAGATCCAAGCAGCCTAATTCAATCTTAATGTCCAATAATATGTATTTAACCAACTCCGGGGTCCAGATCTCCAAAGCCTTCTCATTATCCAGGGTGTTTCAAAGTTTCAAGGAACCTTAGGGATTTCAGGCATTGNTCCTGGAAAATAGGAATTACTTCCATAATCCAAACACAAAAGGCAAAAGGAAAGCCAAGTATAGTGTAGCTATCCTTGTCTTTATCTTTGTCTTTCTCTTTCTCAATCTCATTCTCATTCGGCTTCAAACAACTCTTCAATGATTTTAATAGCGTGTCATAAGAAAGAGAGCCCCGGTTGAAAGAAGAGCAGAGTACATCATCGTCGATAATTTTTATTATCTGCTCGGACACATTCCTATTCTTCCGCTTGCCCATCAAAACAGATTCAACAAAATAAATTGTTGCCAACTTCACAGCATCATCATCGCTGCCTACAAATGACGAAGCTGTACCATGTGGGTGACTAGAAATAAAATTAAACAAATCACCCAACTCAATTCTATCCTTTCCGGGGAAATAGACTTTCGAAAGCCTATTCTCTTTCTCATGTAAACCTTTGATGTCCAGCGAGGAATAACACTTCAAACCAGTAATTAGATGAAATGCGTCACGTGTAAACTTAATTTCACGGTCAAATACCTTGAATGTCATCGAATCAGGGTCATTATTCACAATTTCTGAAAGCAATATACAGTGAATAAGTTTACCACAGAACTTCATACTTTGTAATCGGAAGAAGTTGCCGAAAATACCATCCCTCAACTTCTTCCACTGCCTGTTTGACAAAAATCTTTTAATTGTTTCCATATACTGTAAATCTCCTTTCCAATACACCATAAAATTACGCCAATCATCGAACTTGAACACACGATCTCCTTCCATTATCACACTACAAAGAAGGAAAAAGAAAACAAGTTCAAGTTTCAAGTTTAAAAGTTAAGGAGATGCAGTCCTTAACTTTGAATTCCAAGTTCAAAAGTAAAGGACACTTAGTCCTTAACTTAGATTTACAAGTTAAAGAGGTAAGAATAGGCAGGCCTTAACTTATAGTTTCAAGTTCAAAAGGTAAGGACACTAGGTCCTTAACTTCAAGTTTCAAGTTAAAAAGTTAAGGACAGGCAGTCCTTAACTTATAGTTTCAAGTTGAAAAGTTAAGGACACTTGGTCCTGAACTTCAACTTTCAACTTCCAAAGTTAAGGATACTTAGTCCTTAACTTCAAGTTTCAAGTTCAAAAGTTAAGGACACTCAGTCCTTAACTTTGAGTTCCAACTTAAAAGTTAATGTTGTTTGATCCTTATCTTTCATGAACACAGTTAACTAAAAATTCAGAAACACAGTAAGCTTATGATTTTCTACGACTATTTTTATGAAATGTCCTTACATAATCAAATATATTGAATCAACCACAAACACATTACACATTTCAACACCAAAAATTTTTGAATAACAGCATCACAAAAATACGCTACTTCTCCGACACTGAATCAACTTATAATGATCATTTTTGAAATTTCACACATACTTGACAGGGCATTGAACGCGATTACACATATAGAAAAACAAAAACGCATAAAACAAAAAAAAATTACCAGTTAGATCGATCGATTCAGAGAAGATGAAGAAGGAGAAAGATTAACTGAAGCTCGTTTGCATGCGAGGATCATACGGTAGCAGAGAACACGCGAACTTGCCCCTCTCTCAAATTTCCCTCTTCTGAATGAAAAAACAAGGGTTTTGGGCCTTTTGGCATATGAAGGAAGGGTAAAACAGTCTTTTCCCTATTAGTAGTGGCTATTTTTGCTGAGCATTATAATTAGTGGATAAAAATTAAAGACACCCTTAATTAGTGGCTACTACACGCCATTTTTACTCAAATTGGAGGTTCCTCAAGTTTGGGAGGCTAGGAAGTCTCCCAAAAGTGATCATGTTCAAGAAGTCATGGATAATATGGTTACCCATATTATCTGGATACCCATATTATCTGGATACCCAAAAGTGATCATGTTCAAGAAGTCATGGATAATATGATTACCCATATTATCTACCGGTTAACCCCTTTTTTATCCGTATTAAATATATCGGATCAGATAATTTAGCCGTTTTTTCATTACTCGTTTTCGACCCGAACCATAACCGACCCGACCCGCCCGTTTGCCACTCCTAGGTTCAGGAATCGGGTTTAAACCACTGAACTTATCACCTTGTTTGAGTTATTCATAGTTCAATATTTTCAACAATTTCAGAAAGGTTCTTGAACTGTTTTTCTATGCTTTATCGCAGGTCATTCCATTTGTCTGGTACATGGCATTTGCCACCTTCCCTGCTGGAATACTAGGTAATTTCATTACAGTCAACATTTCCACTAGCAAGGCTCAAAGCAGCTCTTCGCCAAGCTCGCTCACACACACACACACACGCACAAACACAGATGCTGATAACAGCATGCTATTAATCAAACAAAACATAAAAGAGCTAGGAAAAGGACAATAGTTTCTTATTAAAACCACACAGATTATTTTACGGCATCTGAAATATAGAAACTGGGGTATGCTAATGTTACCCTAAGTTCACATGTATGATGCAGAGATAGGATGCTGGATGTACGCTAGTCAAAGACAAGTAGCACGTTTAAGACTGGAATTTCTGAGTGCTGTTCTCAAACAGGATATTGGGGCGTTTGATACAGATCTAAATAGTGGGAAAATAATCATTGGAATAAGAAGCCACATGTCACTCATACAGGATGCAATTGGAGAGAAGGTACAATGCTTGTGCTCAGCTATTTATGGGTCCAGTGTCATCTTTTACTCTTAAGGTGCCCATATTTGCATCTCTGCAAGCATAAAAGACACAGCAAAACTAGAATGAGAACTAGCTAGCAAATAGTTGGCTGATTCAGTTAGCAACTCGATTTCTGCATAAAACATTAAAACATGCAAATAGATGTATGAAGTTAATTGAGTTCTAAAACAATCTACAAGCAGTTGGAAAGACCTGGTCACAAAAATCTCATCACCAAATCAGACATCTGATGTCTCCTAAATCTTGAATACAATCCAATATTAACACTCGAATGGCAACGATTCAGTTACACCTAAACATGTTTCCTTTCCTGACAGTTGGGACATTTTATGTCAAGCATTTCAACTTTCTTTTGCGGAGTCCTGATTGCATTCATATCCAGCTGGGAAGTGTCACTCCTATCCTTGTCGTCCCACTAATCTTATTAATTGGCGCCAGTTATACAAAAGAAATGAGTGCAATTTCAGCCATGAAAATGTCATACCTGTCACAAGCCACATCAATGGTAGAAGAGGTAACAAGCTTATCCATTTCTTCGGTGATAACATGTTATCAAAGTATAGGCAGATCTTACTTACACTACTGAACGATTATTCATACTGCACCTCTGCTGCTCCATGACAGACAATCTCTCAAATCAAAACCGTTTTTGCTTTTGTTGGAGAGACTTCATCAATCAAGTCGTTCTTAGACTGCATCGGAAAACAGATGAACCTAAGCAAGAAAGAAGCATTTATAAAGGGTGTTGGAACAGGCATTTTCCAGACTGTAACTTTCAGTTCATGGGCTCTTATTGTGTGGGTGGGAGCTGTTGTTGTATCAGCTCGGAGATCAAGTGGCGGAGATGTCATAGCTGCAGTTATGAGCATTCTTTTTGGTGCAATGTAAGAGCCAAAACATCATATTTTACAATAGAATCTACCATGCTATGAAGAAAGAGGAAGAAGAAATCAAAGTACTGTCAGAAAAAAGATGGTTTTATTATCTTTCTTTTAATTTCAGAGCACTCACATATGCTGCACCAGATATGCAAATATTCAATCAAGCAAAAGCTGCAGGAAAGGAGATTTTTCAGATGATCGAAAGAATACCAACAATAAGTGCTGACTCGAGAGGGAAGATGCTGGATGTGACTAATGGAAACATCAGTATAGAGGATATAGACTTTTCTTACCCATTGCGGCCCGAAAAGATTGTTCTTCAAGGGTTTTCTTTGTCCATTCCAGCAGGAAAAGTAGTGGCACTTGTGGGAGTGGTTGTGGTAAAAGCACCATCATCTCATTATTGATGAGATTTTATGATGCAAAGAAAAGTTCGTCATCCCTCCACTATTAATTAGAAATCTCAGCTCTTACCTGCAGAAGCTTATTAATGTACATAATGTTCATAGTCAGATAAAGTTGCCTGATTTATATATGAATGTTAGAACACTAACTCAGTATGAAATCCCTCAGGTGATATTCTCCTTGACAATCATAACATCAAGGATCTTGATTTTAAGTTTCTGAGGAGAAATATCGGACTAGTTTCCCAGGAACCATCACTATTTGCTGGCAGCATTAAGGACAACATCAAGATAGGAAAAATGGATGCAGATGATGAGGATACTGAAAGAGCAGCATCCTTGGCAAATGCGCATTCTTTTATACAACAGCTCCCTCATCAATATCATACAGAGGTCAGACCAGTGCCCCTCACACACATTATTAAATTTCCATTCTTTTGGATATGGAGATAATATGGTCAAAGTCACCGGAAAAGAGATAATGTTGAAGAAAGGAAGAAGGCTGGCTTAAATTTACATGCTTGTTCATAAACAGTAGATTTTCTAAGGAGTTAAAGCTGAGGCATTTAAGAAACTGTGAAACACCAAAAGGCCAATTGTTTTTTGTAGAATATCTAAGATTCAAATGAAATTGAACAAAAACAAAATCTTTCCAATTAGGAATGGCCTTAAACCTGCACTATTGAAACAAAAAATTATAACTTCCCACAACTAATATAGCAAAATTTCATACCAGACTTTGTGAAATCTAGCACCTAGCCTCTTTTATCCAATGCTAATGATATTTGCATTACTTTTTATACCGTCATAGCTCAAAGCCGCATCCAGAGAGAATCCTCAGTTAGTTGGAACAACCGATAACTAATTAAAAAGAGTTCCATTAGTTGGAATAACCAACAACTAATGAACTGTGAAATAAGTTTGTGCTTACTTTTTAGCCAGAAAGTAAAGGAAAATCAATAGAATGTTTCTATATAAGCAAAACCCTAAAGTTAGAGGTCAATTATGAATAATAATAACAACAACAATAACGACTACAACGAACAAAACAACAACAGTGAGTTGTTAATTACTAATATAGGAATGAAGACCTAATAATCCTACAACTCAGATACTAGTCATCAAAGAAGCTACTTAAAGTGTAACAAAATTTTAAAGATACTAAAACAACTAGGATATGAACAATTAATTACTTCAAAAACTAATCTCTATCTAAAATTACTCAGACAATCTTCAAGCAGAGACTGCATGAACATTATCCTGAGTGAGAAGTACATGAGCGAAGCTTCTTCTTTATCCCTTTCCGTCATGCACCAGTCTCACATACAAATCAAATTGACAGGATATGGCTGTAGAAAGTGCCAACCTAAGTCTCCAATAGCACAGTAATAATATCAAAAGAAATCACCATCTCTAAGACAAACAAGTTGGAAATATTATGGCAAGTTAAATGGCACATATGCACAAAAAGAATACAGAGATGCTGCAAAAGCTGCTACATCACCGTATAATACATGTAAACCACTCAAAGATATCCTTCACTCTGGCATAAGTCAAATGGATAATCAGCTTTCATGTTAACAATGTTTTGATTTCTTAAGCACAAGTTTCTTGAAAAATAAAATGACGTGATAAATTAGCTTTTACGTCATATGTTTGCATTCTAGGTAGGACAAAGGGGCCTCCAGTTATGAGGTGGACAGAAACAGAGAATTGCAATAGCAAGAGCAATATTAAAGAACCCTCCAATTCTTTTGCTTGACGAGGCCACCAGTGCACTTGATACAGATTCAGAGAAACAAGTTCAAGAAGCACTCGACACAGCCATGCAAGGAAGAACGGTCATCTTAATTGCACACAGAATGTCAACTATCGTTAGTGCAGATATAATAGCTGTTGTTCAGAATGGAAAAGTGACAGAGAAAGGAACCCATCATAACCTATTAAATACCAGTAAATACTACAATGCCTTGTTTAGCATGCAGAACATCGGCCAAGATTGTCAGACCAGGTCACATTCAACTCGATGACATATTTTCCATTATAAGATAAACATAAGTATTTGATGGATTTGAAATGAAATACATTATAATTGACAGGATGGAAGCTACAAATGAGAAAGCTGAATTTATCCAACAAGACAATGCGCGTCAGGACAATCAGCAGCCTGACGAGCCAAGGGAATTCCATAAAGAGTTTAAACAACGCTGTGAGAAGGAGCAGAAAGGCAAAAACGAAACACATATATTCTTCAGAATCTGGTTTGGCTTGAATAAGAGAGAGATCATAAAGACTGATATTGGCTCTTTTGCAGCAGCTTTTGCAGGAACCTATAAACCTGTTTTTGGATTCTACGTCATTACAATAGGAGTGGCATATTACAATCCTGATTCAAAGGAGAAAGTAGCTCGGTATTCAGCAATATTTACCTCAATAGGACTGCTTTCTCTGGTTGCCCACACTTTGCAACATTACTTATTCGGAGTAGCTGGAGAGAAGGCCATGACAAACCTCAGGCGAGCTTTGTACACCGGTAGGTACTTACAGTGCTACTCCGTATCAGATCAATCAATCTGTCTGCTTCTTATTGCTTCGTCCTGCATCAACTTTTTATGACATTCCAGAAATTGTTTTTCAGCCGCACTACGTAATGAATTGGCTTGGTTTGAAAATCCCGAAAACAGTATTGGACCACTTACCTCCAGGATAGTCAATGAAACATCCACAGTCAAGACGATAATAGCTGATCGCATGTCTGTCATTGTCCACTGCATCTCCTCCATACTTATAGCAACAACTGTTAGCATGAAAGTTAACTGGAGAATGGGTCTGGTGGCTTGGGCTGTAATGCCATGCCATTTTATAGGCGGACTGGTTCAAGCAAAGTCAGCTAAAGGTTTCTCTAGTGATAACACTGTTGCACACTCAGAACTCGTTTCCCTAGCTTCTGAATCTACAATGAATATAAAGACTGTTGCAGCTTTCTGCTACGAAACACAGATACTTGAGAAGGCCAAATTGTATTTAAAGAGACCATTGAGGAAAGGGAGGGCAGAGAGCATCAAGTACGGAATCATACAAGGGATCTCTCTTTGCTTCTGGAACGTTGCACATGCAGTGGCCTTATGGTACACAACAGTTCTGGTCGACAAGAACCAAGCCAGCTTTGAAGATGGCATAAGGTCATACCAGATATTTTCCCTAACAGTACCCTCAATTACAGAACTATGGACACTGATACCCACTGTTTTATCAGCCATCGGCATTCTAAAACCTGTGTTCCAGAGCCTCGATCGGTGCACAGAAATTGTACCAGACATGCCAGACAATGCATCAACTGAAAGCATCAAAGGGGAAATCGAGTTCCAAAATGTCCAGTTTCGTTATCCATCAAGGCCTGAAGTACTGGTACTAAACAATTTCAGTCTGCAAATTGAAGCTGGAGTTAAGATTGCAATAGTGGGGCCTAGTGGAGCAGGAAAATCTTCAATCTTGGCCCTGTTACTTAGATTCTATGATGTGAATGAGGGAAAAGTTCTGATTGATAGCAAGGATATAAGAGGTTACAATCTTATGAAGTTAAGGGCACAGATTGGACTGGTGCAACAGGAGCCACTCCTGTTTAGCTGCTCAATTAGAAACAATATCCGCTATGGAAGTGAAAAAGCATCTGAAGCTGAGATAATAGAAGTGTCAAGAGAAGCAAACATACATGAGTTTATAAGTAACTTGCCCAATGGATATGATACTGTTCTTGGGGAAAAGGGCTCTCAACTTTCTGGGGGACAAAAGCAATGGATAGCGATAGCAAGGGCGTTACTCAAAAGACCAGCAATAATGCTGTTGGATGAAGCAACAAGTGCATTAGATACCGAGTCCGAAAGAGCAGTGGTAAGTGCATTGGAATCAATGAAGCTGAACAACTATGGAGGGACAAAAATGACTCGGATAACAGTAGCACACAGGCTTTCGACAGTAATAAATTCAGATACTATAGTTGTTATGGACAAAGGTAAGGTTGTGGAGAAGGGTAGCCACTCAACCCTGATGGCTGAGCTTGACAGTGTGTATTCAAGACTTGTTAGGCTCCAAAGTGTGGAATAATTGGACAAAAACTGACAACAGATAAAACATAATGAGTCTGTCTTTTTTTCGATACAGTGGATAAACATAGCTTAAAAATCACACTAGTAAGTATTTGCAGAAAACACATGAAAACCTGTTTATATGTATCTCTTCTCCACAGAGATTTGAGTACACATAATTGATAAACGAAAGGAAAGCGCAGCCGTTCAAAATTTCAGTCTGTATCCAGGTTTGATACTGTGTATCCTTTAGATACTCTAAATAAATTAACAAGGATATCCAGGGCAACAAAACACAAACACAATACAACAACAACAAACCCAGTGTAATCCCATAAGTGGAGTAGTGTGTTATTTAATTGCTCAAAACATAATACAGTCACAACATGCCAGACTGGTTGAATTGCAGTGGAACCTGATATAATGGCTCCTTCGCCGTCTATCATTAGCCTTATCCAACCAACGATTTCTTTGAGAGTTGCTAGTTGCTACAGATATTGTTTTCTGAGGAAACTGTGATTACAGAAATGGACCTAATTTTGAATTGTCCCAAGCAATCTAGATATGATAGGTGATACATCTAAATGAAAATATGAACAAAGCACCAGTACAAGCATTCATATATTTGAAAAATTAATGAGAAAACAAAAGGCCAAACCAGAGTCTTCAAAAATGTTGACCTCGCCTGAAAGGAGACTAGAAAATTTACGGTAAAAATTACTTAGAGGGTGTTTGGCTAAGCTTATAAGCTGGTCAAACTAGATTATAAGCAGCTTTGGTAAAGTTAAAGTGCTTATAAGTCAAGTGCTTATAAGTTAAAAATAAGCCAAAAGCCATAAGTTGGGCTCCCCCGCTTATGAATTTTTAGCTTATAAGCACTTTAAGTTTGACCAAAATTTTTACTATTTTATCCTTAAAATATTTCATTTTAGAACAAAACTCCCACATTGATACTCACTGCCTCAAATAATTTATCCTATTTAGGTTTATTTTTTACTGAGAAACTTTTGTGAATTTATTAATGGCAGAATAGCCTAGTAGACACCCATATTTGTTCCGCTTTGTCATCCGGTCCCTATACTCCACGAAGTTTCATTCAAACACTTGTGCTTGATCAAAATGAATATTATAAACCCCTGACCGTTGACCAAGCTTATTTGGCCTTTATTTATCTGACTATGATGGAATGCGTGGTATGCACGCGTAAAGAGAGCGTGAATCTATATTTTTATTTCTTTTTAAAAGGAAAATTCAAATATGATAATTAAAAAACAGAGAAACAATAAAAATAAAAGGGAAAACACCCCCTCCTCCCATCTTCAAAACCTTTACCTAACCCATCACCCCCATCTGCTGCCTTCTACCCCGTACCCTTCATCCATCAAGATCACCCACCACCATCACTCCCTTCTTCCTTTGTCCTGTTCTTCCCGCTCTTTACCCTTTTTTATTCCAAGAACTTCAAAATCTCTCTCCTAAACCTTCCATCCAATCACCACTAGCCCACCACCACCAACCACTATAAACTCCGACAACGTTTCACCCTAGATTTTGACAACCTTTACTTCCAATCCCTGGTAGATCTTCTTGTCAACACTCGCCCTTCCGATAGGCCAGATGACGACGATGATAGCAGTCTGTATGAAATATTTGGGATCTCTTTGGTTGGAAGAAATGGTGATTGGAGGAAAATTGATGAGATCTATGCTGCCTTATAGTTTCTGCAATCATTTCATAACCCAAAAAAATGAATCCTAATAGTTTCAGGTGCAACAGTTATGGTGAGACAAAGAGAGAAGAAGTTGAAGCCGATGAATTTTTGAGGTTCTCTGAAAATCGAGAGGGAAGGTGAAAAATGGCGTGAAGGAGAAAGAAAATCTGGTATTAGTAAGAAGAAGATGCTGATGTGGATTATGTATCTGACATGGATCTGATGTGTTATCCATGTCACGGCAAGTGAGACTCACGCATAATGGGAGGGGTTTAAAATATTCATTTTGATCAAATACAAATGTTTGAACGAAATTTTGTGAAGTACCGGGCCAGGGATGACAAACTGGAACAAGTATAAGTGTATACTAGGCTATTCTGCCTAAATACAATATTTGTTTATTTAAATTTTATTGTATCATATTGTTAAAATCCGTCATTACGTAACGATGAAAAGTGTCACTTTATGGAACGACTGATTTGGTGTGATCGCGTCGTTTCCTTATTTTTCCTCTCATCTTGCCCTTTTTTATTATTAAATAATTTTATTTTATCCTTTACCCAACCTTTTTATATAATAATAATATTATCTCGTATCTTACTTTTTCTTTATAATATCGCAAGTCACGAAACGACAGCAAACAATACAATTTATTCAAATATTGTATGCATCAAATGATACAATACAATACATTATGACCATCCAAACAAATTGTAAAAGTAATGTACATATTACCATAACTTATTAGTACTCGTCCACCCGGTCCATTTTCTGCTGCTATTAACTCAACTTGAGGAATATTGTTCTTGAGAATTAGTCCATTTATTGAACTGATTTACTAGGGCCCGTTTGTCCATAAAAAATTTATTTTTTCGGAATGAATGTTTGACCATGAAAAATTCAAATTTAACTTGAAGTTGAATTTCAAAATTTATCGAAAAATTTAAAAACTCCAAAAAAGCTATTTTTCAAAATTTTCACTTCAAATCACTCGCAAAAATTCAAAAACAACTCCAAATTGTATTCACGTCCAAACACAACTCTAATTTTCAATACCAATTTCACTTGGAATTTTTTTTTCACATTTTTCCAAAATTTAACAATCCTTATGTCCAAACGCCCACTAAGTGTCAATACCGAGTCATAGTCGGTATGTCGACTTGAAAAAAAGCTATAACACACAGAAAAATATAATGTTCTTTTACACGTGGACTTATAATTGACAAATAATAAATAAAAAATAAAAAGCGAACCTGTTGAACAAATGCTTTTAGAAGAACCAATTTTTTTTTCTCTTTTTTCTCTTTTTGTTTTTCACATCCAACAATGTTCTTTTTTTTTCTTTTTTGATATTTCACATCCATCAATGTTCTTAAAATGTGGGTCAAAATCAGTCAACTGTTTCAACTATGTTTGCTAATCATCACCACCTTATGTACAGAATCTGTTAGCCCTCCAAACTACTGAGACAATGGAGTTTCCCATAGAAAAGTTTGTTCATGAACACAAGGGGCAAATATCAACTATCTTCATCCATTGTGAGCTAACTTTCGTGCGTGGGATACGTCAGGTTAAGTTCCACCCTCACTGACCGAACGGGTTGCACTCTTGGACAGTAGTAAATCTTTCAAATCTTTGTAAGTTTTGAGCTCCTCAAGAGCATCTGATGCCTTTCTATTGATGAAAAATCCAGATGCAGTACCAAGTTCTCCCTCCAGATCAGTCTTTACGCTATGTGAGGTATAACAGCTGGAATCTTGGCGCAAAGGAGGAGCAGTTCTCAACATGTGAACAAGGGCACCTACAGCGGCATCTTGGGATTTTCTGGTTGTTGCAGATGTTTGAGAAGAGACTTCTGAACCTTTTCTCCCATCAAGGTTCTCACTGCATAACAGATTAAATAACAGTTGAGTTGAAATCTAATGGCGCGATAGCATTGAAGACACAAAAACTATGACAAACACAGTGGCTGCTGTCTGTCGGCAATTACTGAAAGGTTCATTTTTATTCAATATCAGGACCCAGGGATATAACGCACATAATAATTGTTTAAAACCAATCACATTCAAAATGGATCTCAAGCCCTGCCAATCTAGAAGGTGAATTGTCATTTCCATTCCATCCAACACACACCAACCAACTCTAATGCAGAAAACTTCATTTGTGTACTCAGAGCTGGTTTTGCATATGCGGCCTTCCACTCTCTAAATCCTACGAGTTTTAAATTGTACTCTTTAACTCCTACAAGCATAAAATGTGTACTCTTCAAGTCATATGAGTATTAAATGTTCTTGGTTCCCTGGTGGACAACCCACTCCCAAATCTGAACCTCTGACCAAACACATATAAACAAGAAAAAAACAATTCAAAACAGAGAACAATTGAAAAGATGATGAAGAGCCAAGCAAGTTGCGTAAAGGAAAATTAAGAACTTGGAATAAAGAAAGTTCAACCGATTGGAAAGACTCGTGTAATCTCAAAGTCCAGCATATCAAAATACCACAAGTTGTGATCAGAGATAAGGTATAATAATCAAGGCAACTATTAGGATAAACCAGCAAATATCTAGGTTCACACAATATGCCTGCTCCAACTTGCTTGTTGGCGGGGCTGTTAGGATAAACTAATTAGATAGAATATTTTATCAATTAGGAAGATTAGGGAATATTGTGTATATAAATTAGGATCAATTAAGGAAGTTCCATGCCTATACTTAAACAGCCTATAATTAAGCACCCACCCCATTTTAGAACATGTGTGCACTATTAAACTCCCAAGAGCTCATCGGTACAATCAAAGTGCGCATTCTCAAGATCTCTTCTTCTTTTTGAGATGTCTAAGCACCACTTTCTCATCTAGGGGAGGACAATTATTACAACGATGCTGAGCAAAGTGCGCATTCTCAAGATCTCTGAGCAAAGTGCGCAGCCTATAATTAAACTCCCAAGAGCTCATCGGTACAATCAAAGTGCGCATTCTCAAGATCTCTTCTTCTTTTTGAGATGTCTAAGCACCACTTTCTCATCTAGGGGAGGACAATTATTACAACGATGCTGAGCAAAGTGCGCATTCTCAACGATGCTGAGCAAAGTGCGCAGCCTATAATTAAACTCCCAAGAGCTCATTGGTACAATCAAAGTGCGCATTCTCAAGATCTCTTCTTCTTTTTGAGATGTCTAAGCACCACTTTCTCATCTAGGGGAGGACAATTATTACAACGATGCTGAGCAAAATTTTGATGGACTTGAATCTCCTTTAACTTGCTCACAAATGAAGAGCTTATAACCTGGGATTTTCTAGCAGCTTATTCATAAATCCTTTATACAGTAAAGAGGAGAAGATTCTTGGACATTTTCCCTAGATCTTTTTTTTTCTGCATAAATAAAATTAAAGGCAAAAAGTAACTCCAATAAATATTTATTTTTTGTTATGATGGTGGTGTCCAAGCCAGATTGCACGTATCTAGACTATTTTACCAGGTACCTACTACCTCCCACCAACACAGGTACCGGGAAGAAATGCTCAACTTTGTGTCTAACCAGCTTTGTCCACCAAGGCCTAGGCAAACGAGAAGAGAGCACCTAGAGTGTTTTGCCTCTGTCGGGATTTGAACCTGAGACCTCATGGTTCTCGTCAAGAAACTTTGCTACACACGTCTCCCTTGAGCTATGACAGTTAGGTGGACCCTTCAATATATAAATCTTATTTTTCCCAATTCAGTTAACATCAAATGCTCAACTTTATGTCTTACCAGCAGCCAATTTCTAAACAAAGTCCAACCTGTTAACAATAGCTACAAAGCCAATGCATTGGCTCCGGGAGAGGTAATCATTAAAACACAGATGCACTTTCCACAAGGCTGCAAGAAGAACTTTGTGCAATATAATGTAAAGATTTTCAGTTACCAAGAAGAATACTCCAAAAATACAGAAGAAGAGCAGTAAAGTTACCTGACTTGCGAATCGGAAGTATCGACATCATCAACAATAAAAGGACAGGAAAAATCAAAGACATCCAAGTCATCTTGAAAAGACAGTCTGCTAGAACTTCTAGAAAATATACGTGGCGAACCACTTGAAGATAGCAAACCCGAGAACCGCCCCGAATCATCTCTAGCATCTCTCGAAATCTGAAAAGGAAGATTACAAACAAAAGTTGGCAGGATGCTGAAAGAGTGCTTAACTAGTAGTAGGTACAATGTTTGGAACAAAAGTATGAACAACAAAGTGCAAAGACACACCTAAAATCAAGAAAAACAGCTATTTCCCCAGACTAGAAATTCCTCACCTTTTGTCCAGGACTCATAGTGCTGATATTAGACTCTAGAGTCCTTAGTGGATCCATTTTCCGGAATGACCTGATTCCAGAAGGGGAATCATTGGATGATGAATCCTGCTTTGTGCTTCTGGGAGACATTGGAGGGAGAGAATGCCTGTTAGGATCAGACAAATTAGGAGATAGGTATCTGGAACTTGTACCCATCATTGGATGAGGGATACTGACAGGGCCAGTTCCTGAACGCAAACGAATCTGCCCAGGATTTGCTCCTGACAAATATGTGGGTGGAGATGGGGATGGAGATGGTGAAAATGGAGGTGACAGCTGGTACTCATCAAAGCTCGTCGCTTTGTGGTGTATAGGCAATCTGTTGTTAGGTGAAACCCTCTGCCCATATACATCACCAGGCGAAGATGAAAGCTCATGTGGTGTGCGGTACAAAGGTGGAGATCCTACATATGGCTGGGTCCGAGGTAAAGAAGGTGACATGAGGAAACCACTTGTCCAACTGTGCGGCCGCTGGAAAGGTGATGAAGAAGATGATTGTGCCCCTCTTGACGGAAATGATGTAGGGCGGACATCCTTATCAGATGAGGAAGAAGGAAATGACCTCATTGGGTCAGTAAGAGGACTGCCTACATAATCTGTGATGATCTCAGGCGGAAAGGATGCTGCAATCTCCAGGTTAAAGTCTGACAGATTTTCCCGATATGACACAGATATAGAAAAACGGCCCTGCTGGGCATCAACTGGAGTAAAAGTATAATGCTTCATCAATTCCTCCTCTGCCCTGGAGAATGGAGCACTAAATGAAGAGACCTTGTAAATGATATCAAAGTCACAACTCTGAGTTGATGAAAGTTTCCTGAAGGCCTTGAATGCAGGAAGGAGCCTCATCATTGAATAAAGGGAGCGGAGCAGTATAATTGATTTCTTGTATGTTTTCTTGTAAGAAGATTCACCAACTTGAGGAACCATAGTCCTCAGATACTCATATTGTACAACCCACCTCTCTATGATGGTTTCTGTATACGCCCCTGCGAATGCTGTACCTGAACTATGCTCTGACAAAGAACTACGTTTCTCTTGAATAAGTATTATGTCTATTATCATTGGTTCCATCAAATTTCTGTGCCAAAAATTTAAATTTTCAAGAACAGCAGGGCGATCTCCCAACACCAAATTGAACCACTTGTCGCTCTTTTTCACCTCTCCACTACGACCATAAGGTCGGATCGAAGGAACTCTACAGTCCAAAACAATATGCAAGGTTTTAAGAAGAAATTGAGCAAGTATTTGTTCAAACCTTCCATATTCACCCTGTGGATTATTCTGAAAATCCATTTTATGAACCCCAAACAAATATCAGCTCTATCTTCTCTCAACCATAGGCAACTTCAAACAGCACATGAAAACTCTTTAGAATTCATAGACGAGAGCAATCATCTGCTAAAGTTAAGCTCTTCCGCTTGCGGCACTATATGTGTGCATATACACCTGGCATACATGTACAAATTTCAAACAACAAACGCAATAAAAATGGAACTACCGCAAGTTATGCAAATACCTATGCCTAAAACACTAGGTGATTTCTTACCATCTACCTAAGCCTTGATGGACAGAATTACCCAGTACCGGTGGAATAGTCGAGGTGAGCGCAAGCGGCCCCGGACATCACTGTAAAAGATAAATGCACATTATAAGTTATTCTACAGCTTCATTACCATAGAACATAATATGCAGGAGCATAACAATAAGACAAAGACTTCAACAGAAAAGAAATCAGAATATTCAAGAAGACAACTACTTGTGCGGTTGGATCACAACAGGAAAAAATAAAAAATAAAAATGAAAAATCATGGACCTGAACGAGTATTAAATAGATAATATAGACTCACAGCAGAATAACAGTTTAGGTGCAGATCTTAACACAGGCATTAATATAAGTAAAAAGGAAAGAGAATGATTGATAAATAGTAAGACCAAAATTCAAACGACTGCTAATTGGATTAAATAAGCAATTGAACTGAATTGGGTAGAAAATTGAAAAAATGAGAATTACTTTGATAGAAGAACAAATGAAGTTGGAGATAATAAACCCAAAGATAAAACTTACTTGAAAGATCAAAATTCAAAATATAGGGATTAGCAACGAAGAGAGGAAAACTCAGACTTTGAAGCAAGCGGAGGAGAGAGAAAGAGATTGCGTAGAGCGCCGAGACCGGCCGGCTTTAGAGAGAGAAAAAGTGACTGTACATATACAGAAGTCCGGTGTCTATTCTTTTTTCCTCCTTTTTCAATTATCATTAGTCCGTATATTACTATATTCAAGTTTATCATAACCCGTTGAAAGTCTGATTCTTAATCATTCAGATCTCAGACATTAATAACTCTTTGGCCAAGCTCCAAAAATCAGCTTATTTTGAGAAGTGCTTTTTTTTCAAAAGTGCTTTTCTTAAAAGTATTTTTGGTGAGAAGCAGTTTGTGTTTGGCTAATTAGTTTGAAAAGCACTTCTGAGCAGCAATTAGTATTTGGCCAAGCTTTAAAAAATTGCTGCTAATTGTATTTTTCTCAAAAGTGCTTCTCAAAAAAGTGCTTTTGGAGAGAAGCTACCTTTTTTCTGCTTCTCCAAAACTGCTTCTGCTTCTCCTCAAAAGCACTTTTTTTCCTTCCAAAAGCTTGGCCAAACACCTCAATTTTTGGCCAAACGTGCTTTTGACCCAAAAAAAGCACTTTTGGCAAAAAAAAAAAAAAAGCTTAGCCAAACAGCTTATAAGTGCATTTGTTTTTAAAGTCTGAATCTTAATTAATCACATCTTAATCATTAAGTGTGTTTATTTTTTTTACTTCACAATCACTTAATGGGTCTGAATAGGTCTGTATGATTAAGATCTATAACAGAGACTTAATTTCATTAAGATGCTATCATATATTCATTATTAACTGCCGTCACCGCCTACCATTATCAACTACCACCATGCCGCCACCACCACCATACTCAACCATAACCACCACCACTACCTCCGCCACCACCACTACCACCACATCCGCCACTACCACGCCACCATCATCCTTAATCATAGCCTCCGTTATCGACCATCCCACATACTATCCCTACCACTCCGACCACTATCATTCTCACCCACAATCAACACTAATTCGCCTCAACTACCACAATTGACCATCCCATCACCATCAACAACCACAGCCGGCACTGCCTATCAATATAACTACCACCACCAACTCACCACCTTCCTCAATCACAACAACTACCACCGCCCGACATTATTAACTATCACCACCCACCACCACCATCCTCAATCATAATCGCCACCACTACCAATCACTACTAGCTACTAGCATTAACCACCATCATCAACCAAAACTACCACCAACCACCGCCTCTAGTCAGCATTCACCCGTTAGCCATCACCACCAACAACTATCATATTTTAAAAAACTATATATTTTATTGATAGAATATTAGATTAGTTAGTATTTCATTTGAATTTTATGTTTATTAATTTTTAAATAAAGATAAATTTTATACATTCAGATGTTAAAAATCAAACAGTCTTAATTATTTCTATTCAGATCTTAATACACATCTTAATATATTCAGATGTGTATTCATATTCAAATGTCTTAATCTTAATACACATCTTGATATTCAGATGTGTATTCAGATTCAGACGTCTTAATCTTAAAAAAAACAAATGAGGCCTAAGTAGCATTGGTAGAATTTAAATTGGGAGAAATTCAAAAATAGCCAGATTTACAAGTGGTCGTTCAAAAATAGCCCAGTTTCAAAAGTAATCGAAATTTAGCCACTTTTCATGTAAAGATAAATCTGAGCAAAAATATTGTTCAAAATCCGGAAAATACGCCAGTATATTATGCTGGAGTTCCAGCATAAGTATACTTGAACTCCAGCATAATACGATGGAGTTCCAGCATAAGTACACTGGAACTTCAGCATAATATACTGGAGTTCCAGCAAAGTATACCGGTCCCGTATAATATGCTGGAAGTTCATACACAAGTGCTCAAATCTCCAGTATATTATGCTGAAACTTTCCGTGTGTTGGAGTTCCAGCATAATATGCTGGAAATTCATACACAGGTGCACCAAATTCCAGTATATTATGCTGGACCGATCTCTGTTGCAGCAAAATAGTGGCTATTTCTTATTGATTTGGTAAACGCTGGCTATTTTTGAACGACCAGTCCGAAAACTGGCTAGACCATGCTATTTTTACATTTAAATCGTCTTCACAGAATGCTCCAATTAAAAAGGTTAAAATTTGAACATTAAAAGATCCTTAAGGTGATAAATGATACTGATATTTAAAACTATACAGTAATACGAATCGTATCAAATTTAATTAGGTATAGTGTTCATATGGTATTTTAAGAAATCGGATATTAAAAATATCGAATTAAAATATCTAAATACCGTACCAACCGATGAACACCGCTAGAATATGAACATACACATAAGACCGGACAAAATAGGACGCACCTCATCCTGTCGAACCCTTTCCAAATTTTGTACATTTAAGATCTAACACATAGTATCAAGATCCCACATCATATTATATGAAGTTTACTAATTTATTTGTCTTTTCAGTTTTCTTCTTGTTAATTTTGCTATTTCTTTATGAACATTTAAAAAAAAATAGAGTTAACCGTAGTTCGTTGGGCCAGATCTAATGTTTGTTTGATTAATTTGACAGGATCTGTGGATTTATGCTCGCCCGTGCTATGGTCTAGGAACAAAATCAACCAGGAGTCATAACAAATAAGGCCTCGGTTGTCCATAAAAAAATTCTTTTTTCAAAAAAAAATTCAAAAATGTGTTTGTCCATGAAATTTTACAAGTTTTTGATTTTGTTTGGAAATGAGTTTTTCAAAAGATCACTTTTTCAAAATTTTCAGAAAAAACTTTTTTCTCCACTCACAAAATTGTAATATTTTTTCAAGTGAAATGCATGTCCAAACATAATTTCAAATTCCAAATACCATTTTTCAACTTAACTCCAAATACTACTCTCTTGTTTCAAAAAATTATAATATTTACGTCCAAACGCCTACTAAGTCAATTGCATAGTTTTGCCCACAACCCGGAAAAAAAAGTATTGGCTTACTCCTAGTTATGTCCTATTGTTGGAATTTTGCGATCACCTCATGCACTTCCAGTAGTAAATAGTAGTAAAAAAGTTGTTTGCATTATCAGTAAATATAAACGTAAAGTCTTATATATTATAGTATGATTTAAGTTCTAATATATACTGGGATAATACAGATAAAATTTAAAATTATCTTTGTAGTTTAACTAATTAAGCAAATTATGTTAAGAATTATGATGATATTGATTCTCATAATGGATTACATAAAAGCAATCAAGCTATGGAGCCACATAGCAGAGGATTGAAGATGAAGAAGAAAGAGGCTTTGTGGAGGCATCGTGTGTATCAGATACAAAGAGTAAAGTGAAGCCTAACTCTAGAATATGGTCTGGTCAAACTTGGTCTCCTCAGAGAAACAAAAGGACACACGAACAGATCCTGACCTTCAAACATAATATTGATGGATTAAATCATGACCCTCCAGATACTTCCTTGGCAAGCAATCAGAAAAGAATAATTCTAGAAGGGGCCTACACGTGATCAATTCTTGGCATGTGGGAGAGAATATAGTTTGTTAGTATAGTTAAGTTTTGTTGAATAAGAATAGGACAAGTGTAAATACAATTTTCTTTATTTATTTTACATTATAAACTTGTATAAAGAGGATGTACAGTGCATGATGAATACAACGAGAAGAAAATTTTGAAAAATTTTAGTCTCTAAATCTAATATGGTATCAGAGCTTTGAAAGCTTCTTGTTCATCTTTAAATTTTGAATCTCCTTTACTCTTTCTTCTTTGTTCGATATCTATAACAAAACCATTCCAAATAATACTAAAGTTGCAGCAACAACAGCTGGAATTGGAGCTCAGTAGTCATTATGACTCCAACATGCTTATTTTCTACATTCATCTGATGCACCAAGTATGAACCTGGTAAATTCCCATTTTGATGGTAAAGGATATCAGGCTTGTCGTAGATTTGTTCTTATAGCCTTGTCAGCCAAAAACAAATTGGGATTTATCAATTGGACTTGCTTAGCACCAGCAGTCACCTCTAAGGATTTCCAGCAGTGGAATCGATACAATGACATGGTGAAATCTCGATTGTTGAACTCTTTGGGAAAAGAGATAGCTGAGTCTGTCATCAATTCCAAAACAGCTTTGGATCTATGGACTAATCTTGAGGAGAGATTTGGACAACTAAATGGTGCTAAGTTATTCCATCTACAAAAGAAATTCAATGTTAGTGCAGGGAACAAATGATATTGCAGGCTATTATACAAAAATTAAGAAGTTATGGGATGAACATGATTCTCTTAATACTCATACAAATCGCAGTTGTGCATGTGTGTGTGGAGGGGAGAAGAAGTTAGCCAAATCTTTAGAGGATGAGAGGCTCATTCAATTTCTTATGGGATTGAATGAGACATATGCTCAGGTTAAGAGTAACATCTTGATGATTAAGCCACTTTTCACTGTTAATCATACTTACTCGTTGTCACTATATGATAAGAATAAAAGAGAAACCCCTGTTTACAATCAATTTTCTTCAGGAGGTTCATCTTTTATGGTAGGAAATCAAGGATACTCTGTGACAAATGGAAGCCAAGTACAATCAGCATAGAAGTTTACAGGAAATTTGGGGAACAACTCTCAAAGTGCATGGAACTCTAACTACAAAGGAAAGGAACCAAAGCAATTTTGCACTTATTGAAAAATGACAAGTTATGTGATAGGGGACTACTACAAACTTGTGGGATATCCTTCTGATTATAAGTTTAACAAGAAGCTTCAGGGACCAACAAGGGGAAATGCAGCAACATCAGGGGAAGAGCCACAACTAATGGAGATTGATGGAGTTAATTTAACACAAAACCTGTCCATGGATAAGTTCTCTCAGCTTGTAAGTTTGCTCAAGTAGGTCAAGGTTCATCAGGACACCTCAGCAGGAACCAGATATTAGTGCAAATGTTGCAGCTGGTATTACTTTGAATAACCTAGTTTGTGATTTGCCTTTTTATAGAACTAATATCTAGATCATAAATTCAGGTGCTTCAGAACATATGTGTTATGATCCTAAAGCTTTAAAGTTCTTAACTCCACTCACTATGCCTCTTATTGTTAATATGCCTAATTCTTATCTGGTCAAAG